AGATGACTCCCTCATCATAGCCAACACCACACTCATCATTGTTGTCAATGTCTAACCCCCTGCAGACCTGAAGACCTTTGAAGCATAGATACCCAGATGTTTTGTCATGGATGTTATACTGATTTCTACTATGAACTAGATTGTGAAGACCCCAGGAGCATTGCTTTTTATACTCATGGTGAAGGCCGTGGACTTCTTGTCGAATACTAAATTTGCCAAAAGTCGGAACCATACTCTAAAATGTATCAGCTTGATAGTCTTCAAGCTAAGCTCTGGTTTTGCAACCTTGAACATTTGTACGTATATAAAGCCAGCCAAGATGTCCTCTACAACCCCAACTATAATTTGTGGGCCAGAATTAGATATTATACTGAGTCTACCCAGAATGCTGGACACCAATATGAACTAAATCAGACTCGTATCTTCTGATTAGCCACCATCTGACTGCATGAAGATGATCAGACCATTCTCGAAGCACTAGAACCTCAAGTTAATGATCGAATTCACAGTGAGTAGACTGATGAAGATATGACTCTAGTTCTTCGAGCAGAACAAGGATTATTGGATAATGAAGAAGACTATCTAAGACTGGAACAAGTCATCCAAAACTCCTTTAACACTAGCCACCCAGATTTTAACCAAGAATATACCCTTGCCCAAATGCGTAGAAGCTTCACCTACTCAGTAGACCTCTGTAAGGAATGCTTGCATATGAAACACCAAGATGAGCTTGACCAAAATAAAGGACACTGTGATGACTGTGCTCCTTTACAAGTTCTCTTTGAGCCTCCTCAACCAGAACCAGAACCTGTAAAAGAAATTGTACCTCTTACCACTACTATGGCTGAGATGCAATGGCAACTGGATAATCAGGCCTATCTTATTCAACAATTATAGCATTGTGTAAACATTCTTGAGAATAAAAATGCCCAACTAATCCAACTTCTCCAAGAAAATAACTAACATTTTCAACATCAAAATGAAGCTCTTACCTTATTAGCACAGCCATGAAATTTTCAGTAAATCCTAGGCAGGATAAAAAACTACCTAATGACTCAGACATTTAGGACCAGACTTTAAGCCTCATACTACACCAAGTTTATACAATTGATACTTTTATTTCATATGAAGAGTACTCAATTAATAAACCCTCTTTAAACATTGAACCTCTTACTATGGAACAAGGCCAGAAATTTAGACATTTACTCGAAGAATTTGCAGACCTATTTGCAACTGACATAACTGAATTGGAACAAACTAGCCTTGTTACTCATAAGATTTATACTAAAGATGTACCACCTATTCGATCTTATCCTTATTTAATTCCTCCAAGTTAACAGACTTTTATAAAAGAGAAATTTGCAAAGAATGCTGGATAATAAGCTTATATGACCCTCCAATAGCCCTTGGACCTCACCTGTTGTTCTTGTACAAAAGAAAAATGGTAAATTATGATTTTGTGTAGACTACAGAAAACTGAATGCTATTACGAAAAAGGATGCTTATCCATTACTACGAATAGACGAGATGTTAAATGCCCTTGCAGAATCCTCTTGGTTCTCTACTCTAGACCTCACAAGTAGATATTGGCAAGTTGCTATAGAACCACGTAATAGAGAAAAGACAGCCTTTATTACTCGCTATGGCATATATGAATTTAATATTATGCCTTTTGGACTATGTAATGCTTCAGCTACTTTTCAACAATTAATGGACCATGTATATGATGGGATTGTATGGAAATTTGTAGTCGTGTACTTGGACGATACTATAATATTCTCCCAAACATTTAATGAATATTTGGATCACTTAAAAAGAGTATTCTCTCGAATTAGAAAAGCAGGATTAAAACTTAATCTTGAGAAGTATAACTTCTGGATGAGAAGCTTACCCTTCCTTGGCTATATTATCTCGCCCCAAGGAATTGCTCCAGACCCTTAAAAGATTGATGCAATAGAGAAGATACAACCTTCTAAAAATGTAACTCAGTTACGATCGTTCTTAGGATTGGTTGGATACTATAGACAATTTATTCAAAACTTCTCTAGCATTGCTAAACCTCTTAACCAATTACTGCAAAAAGATATTGCATATGAATAGAAGACTGCCCAACAAGAAGCTTTTGAAACACTAAAGAAATAGCTCACAACTGCTCCAATTCTAGCTTATCCAAATTTCCAAAAGACTTTTATTCTTGCTACCGATGCTTCATATTTTGGCTATGGTGCTACTCTTAGCCAAGTGAATAGCAATAGGAAAGAAGTAGATAGATTAAGTAGACATTACTATATATATAGTGATGTCTACTTAATCTATCTACTTATACCATAGTGATGCCTACTTATAGATATTAATGTCTACTTACTTATTTTTACATGTCTATACCCCTTCTAATGCTTTATTGCTACCCATCTATTTTCACTAGTATGTGACTGTTTGGTTGCTAAATAGGGCAGAGGTTTGTTTTTCCATTCTGGAGTCTTTTAACAATTGTATAGAAGTAAAGTTGGTTTTTTCACTCTATGACTCTTTTGGTTGCTATATTTGAGGTCAAGGGTGTGGCCCATTTGCTGGTCTTTTAAGTTGCTGAAATAGTGTAAAAAAATCGTCAGATAGCACAGTTAATTTGCGGATCAGATTTTGGCCGGCACTATAGCATAATTTCTGGCCAATCTTTAGGGCAGAATATCTTGGCTTCCCGTAATTGGTTCATGCGATTTTATACTCGTTCTGATGAGGGCGTTGAGAGCTTTCCAATGATGCTAAGATCGCATGAATCAGATACCTGGATGCCAAGATATTGCATCCTGAAGTTTAGGCAAAAAATATGGATTATAGTGCTAAGCAAAATTAAGTGAATCTATACTACGCCTTACTGTGCCAGTTACGTGATACTGTTCTGGTGCCGGAACACCCTCACATAGTTGCTTCCCTCTCATTTGCCATTTCTTGATTGCCGGATGAGGCACAAAGTGCCGAATTTGCAATCCATCTATTTGCTAAAGATGTTCTGCAATCCCATCTTGTATGATCTTTTTGATTGCCGGGTTGAGGCACAAAGTGCCGAATTGGTGACCCAGATGTGCAATCCCACCTTTTATATTCCCAT